GGATAGGATAAGATTTACATATTTATCGCGGGTCAGGCCGGTAATCCTCTCGCGCATAACTATTCCCGCACGGGATTCGAAATCAGAGGTGTGCATTTATAACGCTTAGCACGATGCGCCATGCCGCCGAATATTCACCACTATACGTCAACCTTATAGACTCTTTGACTAACGATCAACCCACGAAAGAGCTTCGCGAACGACGATACAATATATCCTCTAGCAATGAATGGAGTAGTTTATTCCCAGTGGTAAAAATCACTAATGAGAAAGATATATATTCGGATCGGATTTTGTTTATCAGTTTGTTGTTGTTATGTTTCACGTCAGAGCGAGCAAATAAAATTAATAATTTGAATTCATAACATATACGGCTACGCGTCAACCTCATAACTCATTTAACAAAGCGAACAATGAACAAGCCAAGTTGCATGCTAATCGACGAATAACCTAGAGTTTATAGTTTTTAAAAAGTGTTTCCTTGCTCTCATTTCGTTTAGAATTTTCATATCTTCAATTAATTGTTGAAGGTGTTGCCCAATTTTATTTTGTGTTTATTTTTTCGTATGTTACCATTGTTCTTGGTGGACTTAAACGTTTTCAACTTTATCCCAAGTTATGCAATTAATTGATTGAGATTCGCAACACTCGACGCTACGCGTCAACAATAAGCCTCAAACTCCAACCAACGCGATATACACGAACTTCGCTACGATACAAAACATACACTATTAATTAATTAATGGGGTATCTAATTCCCAAGCGAAGATATCACTTATGAGAAAGATGTTCAGATCCCACGAATTCGCGTACAATAATGAATAATACGTTGATCATTGTACAAGAGTACAGCTTGTTATTGGAATAAAGTGCATTTCATCCGGTTTAAAATCCTCCCTTTTTAATTGCGAACTCATTCAAGGTGAATTGGATGTACAAAAATGGTCGTCTAGCAATGAATTGGAGTAGTTTTTTCATTTTCATACCGTCGGGTATAAATCACTTATGAAAATGATATATATTCGGATTTTGGGTGCTCCTGAAGTATGCGCACCAGGATGTCGCATAGCCTGAACCCAAAACTGGTACACAACCTGAGTTCAGGTTGTGCGCCATCTTGGTGCGCATACTTCAGGAGGTCGGGATTTTGTTTGTCCGTTTGTTGTTGTATATATGTTTATTTGCCTCAAAAATATAACAGCCATGCTTAACGGCTAGCGAGCGAAAAAATTTGCTACACATACGGCTACGCATCAACCATTACTCTTTTAGCAGAGCGATATGAACAACGAACGGCGCTCGAGAAGTATGTGCACCAGGTAACAAATTTTGTTCGCCCACTTTACATCCAGTTGTGCAAAGGGTCTGAAACCTATGGGCAGGGGTAATTTCACTTAGCTAAAACAGACAGTCCCCGAACTCGTAATAGAACTAAAATAAAGGAAAATCGTAATAAAATTACTACAGGAGTAACCGTTTTTGACTTTATCCTGGAATATGGCCGCATTAATTCCAGGTAACTCTGCATTTTGTATGTCGGTTTGTTATTGCCACGTTTTACGGCAGAGCGAGCAAATAAAATTGATAATTGGAATTTATAACACTTCAGATGCGTCAACTGTCACCTTTAAACTTTTATACCATCGCGTTATACACACACTTCAATATTCATTATACTATTTATCGTCCATCAGTGAATGAAGTAGTATATTCCCAAAGGTAGAAATCACTTAGGAGAAAGTACGGACTAATGAGATATTGTCTAGACCTGGTCTGAGTCATATTGTTGCGCAATAAACAGTTCGTGGCTCAATGTCTCGATAGCTTGTGCCTGTTAAATTCTTGAGGCATTATTTCACAACACCTTAAGATCGAAAAAGGTCTTGTATAAGCCAGGGGTCGGCAACCTTTTGTCGCTCCCGGGTCAAAATTAAAGGTTGCAAGTCATTGGCGGGCCACACCTATTTTTAGAAAGTTGAAAACCGAACGGATGATACTTTTTATAATAAAAATCGAGCAGTGATACATCTCTCGAATAGAATAAAGATTTATTTCATTATTGCTTTGCATCTCAAAAAATTCTATTTTCGGCGCATTGAACCCTTTGCACTTGGCATCAACTTTTCTGCGTTTTATTGCCATTTGTCTAATTATAATTGAACTATAGGCTCATTAAACGAGTAATTGTGAATTATCTACTTGTTAGGTTATATTATAATTTAGTCTGCACGTGTCTCACAATAAATTCTGTTACGTGAAGAATAAAATCGTCAAAACCGCTGTTTTGTTACTATAATTCAGTGAAGCGTCGCAAGTGGGAATATATTACTCGCGGTTCGGCTGTAGATTGTCGACCCCTGGCATAAGTAGTGATACCCTTGATTTTTTAACTTCAGATGCCAATATGTTTAGGTCCAACGATCTACAACTCAGCGTCGGGAACACTGTTTCCATCTGCTTACACTACTAAAGGGCGCGAGTGCGAGTTTCGTGTAATATTAAACGCGGGGCATTGTATTAAAATGAACCAATTCTACGCCACGCAAGTTGGAGACACAATTCGTCCTGCTCTTCTAGTCGCTTGTTTTAAGACTTAAAATGATACCTCATGGTACTCCTGCAGTATGCGAACCAAAATGGCGGACACCGGAACGTAGTATGTCAACTCGGTTGGGGTAAGGCTATAATTTCAGGTACGAATACTACGGGGGTCACTTGGCTAGTCTGCAAACTTGTAATATAACTAAAATATAAAAAATTGAAATCAAATTATGGCCTAACCCTAACCTGGTACACATACTACTTTCCGGTGTCAGCCATCTTGGTTCGCATACTTCGGCAGCCAAAACTTGACACGTTAGTATTTTTCTACTTTAAAAAGTGTGAATTTTAAAAACTTCAGACATAATCGCCCTTTAATATGATACCAAATCCTGATAACATCATGGGTCGAATTTTTGAACTTCTCTTCGAGTTCATACAAACAGAATTTAAACCGATGAACTAACGATTCCCAAATCAAATCTGGACTGGCAGTTCATGGTTCTCATTATGATTGCGCTCGGCTTTCCACTTCCCATCACGCTATACTCGACGACAAACGAATGTTCTTAATTAGGTAACAGCAGTTTTATTGAACTGAAACAAACGTTTATGACCAAAATGATAATAAACAGAGTAAAAATAGCTACGAAAAACCCATAACATTGTTGGCGACTTCAGGTAACAGAATTATTTTATGATTATACCGTGTTTCCCCGAAAATAAGTCCAATCCTAAATTTTAAGAAAGTTTTTTACGTCTACAATGATTAATAATCTATGTTCGAAAGTTGTTTTTAATAAAAACGTGTTATTTTTTAAGTAAATGGATATCATATGTTGTATATTTGAAAATCTCGTAATTCTCTACTTTGTACTTTTGTTTTTGATAAATAAAAATAAAAGACATCCCCCCAAAATAAGCCCTAGTGTTATTTTCCGGGAGAAAATTGAATCGAGACCGTGTCTTATTTTTGGGGTAACACAGTATTAAATGTGGTAATAGAAAACGGTGGGTCAGCCAGTCAAGAAATGGGCGCTCCAGTAGTATGTGTACCAATATGGAGGTACCCAATTTTGTTCGACTACTTTACATCAAGTTGTGTAATGGGACTGAAACCTATAGACAGGGGGGTATATTCACTCAGCTAACATAGACAGTCTTCGAATTCGTGATAGAACTAAAATATTCTGAGTTCAAACAGAAAGCTTAAGGAAAATCGTAATAAACGCATGGCCTAACCTGTCACATATACTACAGAAGTACCTTATTTTGAACTCTGAGTTGAAAAGAAAAAATTTGAAATGACCAATTCACTCAGCTAACATAGACAGTCTCCGAACTCGTAACAGAACTAAAATATTCTCAGTTCAACCGGAAAGCTTGTCACATATACTACAGAAGTACCTTATTTTGAACTCTGAGTTGAAAAAAAAAATTTAAAATGACCAATTGTGCAAAAGATACGTATTCAACAGGTAAACATCAATACAACAAAATAGTTGCTTCCCACATGCTATAGCATGAGGTGAGTGAGGTCTTGGAACCAAAGGCCGAAAATTTTGCTCACCTAGACTTGCTGGTCATGTAAGCGTGGCGTAAAAAGTTACATTTTATGAACAGAATTTTATTTACAGTGTTACAAAAGCAAAAGTGGAAAACAATACGCCTGGTGCAAAAACTGAATTTAATCACAATCTCAACAAATTCCTTGAGCTATTTTTTTTTAGCTAAAACAATATTATCAATATTTGGTTTTAGTTCTGTTGTGACAGCATCAGGCAGGCCAGATTAAATTACCCAATGAACCGTAGTTTGCCCATGTCAGTGTTATAGTTTGCTTTTCAAGAGACTAGTTCTGAGGTATAACGCGCAACAACTCTTAAAAAAAACGTTAATGGTGGTTCACCCTTGCAGATGAAATCAGCAGCTAAACATCAATAAAACACTTATTGTAATTTGCTACATTTTGTCAAGTGCTTGCTTCATGGCCAAAATATCACAAAAAAATAACTGTAATAATAGATCAGCCATGTAGTGAATGACGAATGAGTAGTGGTTTAACAGTCATCGGTTAAATATTAATATAACAAACGTCAACAGTCGTTGAAGACATAATTTGATCAACCGTTTTCATATCCCTAGAGACTTGATCACATAAATATTTGTGAGCAACGAATGATGGCCAAGAAATCAAGGATAGCCTAATCCAGCAGTTTCCAAGCTGTTTGTTGCTGCGGTGCCAAATTATCAAGGAAAAAAAAATCATGGTGCACACACGAAAAAAATGCTGTTCCAAATAAAACTCAATTTTGTGGTCGGTAATACAAATTTTATGCTATTTAAGGTTTGTAAACATGTAGGCATAAAGCAACGGTTCCCAATTTTTTTAAAGCACAATGCCAAATCGACAGGAAAAAAATTGCCATTGGAATATGTTTTAAAAAAAATTATTTTCAGATATAATATCAGATATTTTTAATATTTAGGCTTGTTCATCCGGCATACTTATTTTTCAGAGATTGGATTTCGTGATTAGGTACTCCAGAAGTATGTGAGCCAAGATGGCGGACACCGGAACGTAGTATGTGTACCAGGTTAGCGTTAGGCAATGATTTTATTTCAATTTTAGTTCTATTGGGAGTTCGGGGACTAGCCAAGTGACTCCCCGTAGTATTTATACCTGAAATTATGGCCTAACCCTGTCCTGGTACACATACTACGTTTCGGTGTCCGCCATCTTGGTGCACATACTTCTGGAGTATCCGAGATTTTTACATTCGACCTTTTGTCTCCAAACCCTTAAACTGAAATTCTCTTTCTTGAATCAAACTGATAATTGTTTATCTATTCCCCATGTTTGTTAAAAGCTAGAATTTTTTATCAGACAAAAGAGTCATTTGTTTCAAACTCCCAGGAGAATTCAAAATCTCAGAGATGAATCAACGTCTTTGATGTTGATGGATAATATTAATTAACAGTAAAACTGTCAGTATTCAATGAATAGCTATTGTGTGTCCCGAAAATAAGACCTAGCTCGAATTTTAAAAATGATTTCAATATAACCAATATTCTGATTGTTCAAGACACCCACAATTACCAAGTAAACTGGTGTAGAAAGGGATGGGAACCACTGTATTATTACAATAGTATAAATAATCTAGCTCCATACAGAAGTAATTTGATCACAACAACTATTTCTACTATGTTCATATGCTGTTCCAAGGGGAGCAATAACTGTTTATCAGTCGCTAATAGCAACATAAAGTTACAACCAATCAGAGCATCAGTTTTGAATCGTTATGGCAACTCAAAGTTACAACCAATCAGTGCGTCAGTTTTGAATTGCTATGGCACACAATGATATGGTCACAGTTGAATGAACTTGACCTTTGACCCTGATGACATCAATAAGTAAGTCATTTCATTCAACTCTAAGTATTATATGAATCCCAGAGTCTGTGAATACCGGTCCACTCATTTCTCCGGGTTTCAGAGCGTAGGCAGCGTCTTCAAATGGTTTTTGCATTTGACCTGGAATGCAAACAAGAGAGCATTTCTATACGGAAATATACAAACGAAAGTTTTATAAGTTATATTAGCAAAATTCCAGTCAAGTGTTAAAAGAATATTCGGAATGTCAAATGATGGTCTGTCTGTCGGGGAAAACAAAATAAAGAGGTAAAATAAGTATTAGCGATCTTGCAGCTTCTTCCATCATGTACACTTGACATTTTGTTGGCTCTAAGTTCAATAAAAATGACACATAGGTCCACTTTGTATTCAATAAGTATTTTGCTATAATTATTATGAGGCAGTAGGAACTATGCCCCACACACATCTAAGTCTCGTTAAGATAAATCACCTGAAGCATGCGTGTGTAACATTTTTTGTGGGTGGACCATATAAACTACTTCAAACATCTAACTGGACACAAAAAATTTGTTTTTCCATGTACACAACAAATTGAAAAATTCTCACATTGCAAATTTTATTTATTTAACATTTTAAGTTCTTGCAAATAGTTTGTTAACATCAGCTTTGACAGAAGTTGTACTTGTAGCAACCCTTAATTGACAAAATACATTTATAAACATGAACCGTCATTTTATGATCACTTATCAATCTCGATTAGTGAGTATGTCGATATTTGGTATATGTTGGTATTTGTCTGTTTGTTTGTCTCGAAAGCGAGGTTGAATCTGCTCCAAATTTTGCATGTGCATTCATCTTATCTCGGACCAGAAGCCTATTGATTTTGCATGAATTATGTCGTATAATTAGGGAGTTATTAATTAATTAGTGATGGGACACGCGGCGTCGCTATTGAGTCAAAGCGAAGGAATCGAACCCGCAGATCGATAAGTCGGCAGTCTCCTATCGCTTACTTATTACTTATCGGTTTTAATCGGTAAGTATGTTGATAGGTATTTGTCTGTCTCTATTTCTGTTAGATGCACGCGATATCTCACGAAAGCAAGGTTGAATCTGCTCCAAATTTTGCATGTGCATTCATCTTATCTCGGACCAAAAGCCTATTGATTTTGAATGAATTATGTCGTATAACTAGCGAGTTATTAATTAATTAGTGATGGGACACGCGGCGTCGCTATTGAGTCAGAGCGAAGGAATCGAAACCGCAGATCGATAGGTCGGCAGTCTCCGATCGCTATCTAGTTTTATGCTTGATGGGAAAAATCTGAGTGTTGACAAGGGCCGCACTAAATTTCTTAGCGGGCCGGGTTGCGATCGCGGGGCCGCTTGTTGCACAATCGTGATCTGAAGCATACGCACCTCTTGAGAATTTGCCCAGATCTCCCCCTCTCTTAGCAGAACTACAATCACTATACTTTGAAGCCAGATCTTCAAATTGAGCATTTTCATTTCGGATTGCTTCTTCATAACCTGCAACAAGATAAAAGTGCTAACACGAATTTCAATGGGCTGTGAATAGTGATATTTCCAAATTCAATATTTATTAATACACAAAGTAAACAATAAACATTTTGTCATCAATAAATGAAAATGTAGAAATAAAATTGTTTTGATATGAACAGGAATGAGCGATACGACCTTATGGTCATTGAGGTCAACTCTCACCATATTTGCTGATGCGATTAAGTTTTCCTGACTGCGACCCGCAAGGCCCCCTCAAAATTTCATTATGTGTATTCAGTCACCCTGTACAATGTTTAGTGAAAATTTCTCTGTAAATTGATTAAGCATGCCAAAATGGAGAGAGGCCGGTTCTCACACACACGCTCAGTGGTGTGGCGCATCGTGCTAAGCATTAGGAATACGCTCGCCCCCGCACCCCCCCGATTAGGTTACTCTGCCTGGGCTGCAGGTTCGAATCCAATGCAGCGTAAATTATGTGCGAGAGGATTGCTGGACTTGCTAGATTGCAGTCGTAGGGTGGTTCACATAACAGCTCATCAGTTAAGGCTTCGTCCGCCATCAAGTCCATGCTTCCGAAAAAACAAATAACTGTCTAACTAATACCATACCAGACATGGACTGGTAACTGGACGAGGGCCGTGGTTGGCCATATGATAAATGCGCCTCTCCCCTGGGATAAATATGTAAATCCCATCTTATCAACAAATAGTAGGTTCAGAAGTATCAGTGACGGCTCGATCATGGTAAGAACATCTAATTGAAAAATTGATTTTTAACATAAAAGTCCTAAATCACCTTTCAAAATATCCAAAGCTTCTTCTTTACTTCTTGTTATCGTGTTTTCTCTCCACGATGAAGGCCGACGTGAATCTACATGTTTTACGAGAAGATGGAAGGCATGGACAGTCTAAAAGAGAAAAAATTTCCCGATTAAATTTATCGAGTATTTATTGATTGTTTATTTCCATGACAAGGGGAGGTATGGGGACTGTAATCAGTACTTTATTTCTTCATCGTACTGAAAATGTGAACCATACATACACAAATTAAAAAATCGCACTTCAGAGTGAATAGAGACGCCAAAAACCAATTGTGGTTTTCAAGCGACGGCACCCTTGTGACAGTCTAACAGAACATTATACCGTAAGTAGAATAAAGACAAACAAAATATGTTATTTGGAAAAAAAAAGTACGTCAAGGGGTGCTCCCGAAGTATGCGAACCAAGATGGCGGACATCGGAACGTAACATGGGTAACAGGTTAGGGTTAGGCGATCATTTTTCCAATTTTCCTTATTTTAGTCCTATTATCAGTTCGAAGACTAGCCAAGAGCCTCCCGTAGTATTTATACCTAAAATTATGGCCTAACCCTAACCTAGTACACATATTACATTCCGATGTCCGCCATCTTGGTTCGCATATATCGGGAGCCCCCGTCAAGGCGATAAAAAACAATATGTACGACACTGCAAAAAGAAACAAGGTACGTCAAGGAACTGAAAAAAAAAACAATATGTAGGTTAAGGCAACCTGGTATATGCCAAGCAGTCACGATTTCAATAAAAGAAAGTTGACTCCAAGCACCACAGTTTAGGTAACCATGGAAATAGCAGTGAGAGACAGTCTCACAATGTTTTTAATGTGAGGTAACAAGGGACTAATAAAGAACATTGTTACTCAAATAGCCTGACATATCTGCTTTTAATAGTATTTTCTTTTTAAATCAGCGGTTCCTGACTGGGGTGCCGTGACCCCCAAAGAGTGGTTGAAGGGTCAGACGCAATTCTAGATCAGATCAGTTGGAAGGGCCACGATGCTAGGCGTAAAACTGATTTTATATTTCACTTAACAAGAAAAATCCCCGTTTTTCCTTGTTTCATTGTGTGATAAGGGTATTTTGCAGGGTGTTTTCACTTTGTTGAGCATGAATTGTTTAAACATAATGAGATTTGGAATCTACCAATCACAATAACACTCTATGAAATGATGAACAGGCAGGGCATGAGTGTTGAAAGCCCTCGAAGAAGGGCCAAAAGTCATGAAAGGTTGGAAACCATGGTTCTAAACACTCACTTCTGTTTGGTTCATCTGGATAGGATTTACATATTTATCCCGGGGGAGAGGAAAGCCGATAAGACGGTTTATCCATATGGCGAACCACGGCCTCTCGTCCGGTTACCATTCCAAGTCGGGTATGGGATTAGTTTTACTGTATTGTTTGTTTTCGGAAGCATGGACTTGGTGGTGGAGTCCAGCAATCCTCTCGCACATAACCATCCCTGCATGGGATACGAACCTGCGAACCCACGCAGAGTAATTAGAGGTGCGGTGGCGAGCGTATTTCTAACGCTTAGCCCGTTGAGCCACACCGCCACCGCTGTTTCAGAGAAAGGCAATCTTTTCCAAACATCACAACAAAAATATTGAAAAAACGTCCATTATGTATCCAAAAATAATCAATGATGAAAATTATCTAGATTCTAGAACTATCTACAAACTACTTAAACCACTATGTGGTGACAGAGAGTCATTTTTCTCTCATATTACCATCTCATAAAAACGTGGAGTGTTGCCTCCCTAAAAGTAATCAAAAGTGAAATATAGATTTAAAGACGGGCGTGGTAGATAGAGCATCGCAAACTTTTATTGCTATTCATAAGGAGAACTTTCTTGAAGCAGGTCACGCACACTTGCTAAGAGTTTGCAGGTTATCACTGGTATGCCAAAAGCTGTAAACTTTACAGAATTGGGTGTGTGTATCATAACACGCACTCACTCAGAAGTTAAAGACAAACACTGAAATTCCGGGGTTAACTATAACTATAGAGTGTCCATAAAGTCCTGAAATTTGTTAAAATTGCAAGGGGAATTTCTCGATACCATATCTTGTTTTGGCCCTCATAGATGTGTTGAATGAAGTAAAAATACTTGACCAATTACTGATTAAAAAACAACAAACCTGGTTAGATATATTGAGAACTGACTCGATAACAAAATTGAAACTGTAAAGGGACTTTAAACTATGAATTATAATGGTGTATTCGGCCCCCTCACACAGAAGTAAAGAAGACTAATCTCTGAACAAAGTTAGACACAATCATCGAATTGCCAAATTTATAAAAAATATAGAGGGACATTACGCGCCAGTAAATAGTGCTTGAATAGCCCTCTATAAATAACACAACAAATTAATAAAGCCTCTACTGTGACATCATAATCTATAAATTATTCAACATTTATTGTGTGGTCACAAAAACTTGCGCTGCTAACAAAGTACAATTTAGCATAGTCATTGTGAGTAAATAAAGCTTTATTAATCATTGACCGATGAATTCATCTTATTATATTAGATCGTACATGAAATCTAGATAATTCTTATTTTTATGTATGGACCAGTTTAAGATGAAGTTAAGAAATGAAGATATTTACTAAATGGGTGAGGCAATGTTTGTCATACGGACGGACGCATAATTTGGCACGATGTCTCTCAGAAATAGATAGTTATTGTCCCTGTAGGCTTGTTGCCCTATTCAAATAATAATACTTTTGTGTTAAATTTATCACTCATATAGAATAGCTTAGAGCTAATACTTTCCTATATGTAATGTAAATCACAATACATTGAAAAAAAAATGGAATCTTTAACAGTTAATTATGAAGGAAAATTTTTTTAATATATATGCACGATAATGGGTGCTCCCGAAGTATGTGAACCAAGATGGAGGACACCGGAACATAGTATGTGTACCAGGTTAGGCCATAATTTTATTCCAATTTTACTTATTTTAATTCTATTACAAGTTCAGGGACTAGCCAAGCGACTCCCATAGTATTTGTACCTGAAATCATAGGCTAACCCTAACCTGGTACACATACTATGTTCCGGTGTCCGCAATCTTGGTTCACATACCTTGGGAGTACAGCTAAGGCAACATTATGGAGATTCAACAAACAGGAATATTTACTTGGTACCCGCGAGTACCCAATAATGCATGGACTTTTGGGATCCCAGTACGTGTATTACATGATAAAATATCTCTGTTCGTATATATCCAATTCACCCCGCTTCACTTTTATTTGTCCAGTGGACACGGCCAGTTTAGCTTTGCTGAGCAAACATTTACCTTATTTAATGGAGGCCATATCTTTTCTATTCAACAATACAAAGCATTGTGGCCACGCCCGTTATTCTCGGCCAACAGTGGACGCTAAATTTTTTACTACGCACGCTTGTCCATTGCTTTAGAATTTTGGATAGGATCTTTTCAAATATGATACAGCAACAGCATACTGCTTTGACATTTTATGTTTTCATTGAATGTTGAAGTCACAAAACCACTCCAAATAGGGCTTGGACAAGCAATGACTGGTAAATACAGAAATATTATCACCCAATATGTATTTATATATAGGTTTCTCAGAAATAACTAAAACTACGGTAAATGATCTAATGTTCAAAATACACTTTTGAATATCAAATATGTTTCAAATTGGGTCATGTTAAAAAAATATAGTTCATGAGTTCTCAAATGTAGAAAAAATTTGAATAAAAGCAATTTGTAAAGGGTTTCAATAACATTATTTAAAATTGGAAATTTTGAAATCGTATTTTCGCTCAAATATTAACAAACAAGCATCTCAAATAACATTCATTAAAAATTGTCAGTCAACGATAAAAAAGAGCGCATTCTCGTCCAGTGGTCCATGGCTCACTGGCCGGCCACAAAACATTTTCAGATGGGCCGCAAAACCCATGGAATTGATAAATTTAATCCTATTTGTGTTACTTTTTATCATTTCTGAAAGGATTGAGTATTTTCGGGTATGGCACCCAATAAGTACATACAGTAGTTATATATATGTTTTTCAGAGATAACTAAAACTACGATAAATATTCTAATGTTCGAAATCCACTCTGAATTAAAATTTTTGGATATCAATTTTGTTTTAAATTGTATCATGTTAAAAAATGGTACTCCTGTAGTGTGTGTACCAGGTTAGGGTTAGGCCATAATTCTATTCTGATTTTCCTTATTTTAGTTCTAATACGAGTTCCAATATCAATTTCGAAACCACTTTTTTAAAACTTTATTTTCACAATGTCACAAAGACGGCATGGCAATTACATTGTTTGTACGGAACTTGAAAAGTGGAACACTTTCTAAGATTACAGCCATAAATTATTAACTATGTTTTGCGATTGTGAAAAAAACCTCAAAGTCGTCATTGTGTTTGTAATCTTTTTGTTCTCATAAGTGTTTGCTTAAAGCAAGTTCTGAAAGACATAACCCAGTGGTTTTCAACCCATTTTCTGTCATGGCCCATTTTCGTTGCGCTGAAAATTCGTTGCCCATTTACCTTACCATGCCAGGGTAAGACTGCAAGAAAAACAAATACGGTAAATATTTACACAATATAGACCCTTTCACTTTATTAAATCACTTGAAAATTACCATTCTGCAGCAAACAGAAGCAGCATCAAATATTGCACTGCAATCAAACATATACTATAGTAACACAAATAGTATTAAATTTATGAATTCAATGGCTTTGTGGCCCATTTGAAAATCTTTGTGGCCTGGCAGTGAGCCATGGACCACTGGTTCAGAACCGGTAACCAAACCAAAATATGGTTTTTTGGCTGTTCCTGCTATATATAAATACATAATATTACGGTAAGTTGGCTTTGTACCGGGAATATCTGATCCATCTGCTCTTTACTAGTAAATGCCATATTTGGAGTGGTTTTAAGGCCTATACTGAACTCATCAAAATGTCAGCGACTACAATGAGCGTCATTTTACAGGGCAGTGACATATCCACATGAAATGGTGCCAATGGCAAAGTTTGTGAATACGCCCTTTTTATCGTTGACTGTTATTGAATTGAGATTCTTGTACGTTACTA